GCTCCTCCTCCTCCCCCGGCCGCGGCGGCGTGTCAGAGGAAGAAGAAGACGGTGAAGCTGTTCTGGAAGGAGCTGAAGCAGGCAGACGGACCGACTAAGTGCCGCTTCGGCCGGGGGACGGTGTGGGCGTCGCTGGACAAGGTTACCGTGGATACAGCCCGTCTAGAACACCTGTTCGAGTCCAAGGCCAAGGAGCTGGCTGTTACCAAGGTAACAGCAGGTTGCAGCATTGATGAGCAGATAATATCAGGTTTTCATCCTGAAGATACAGATTCATCAATATCTGCATCGATCAGTGAGTCCAGCTTTGGTCGGATCCAGCAGAGATCCGAACAGACGACTGATTAGAGACCGAACAGAGTAAAATAAATCTGGAAGGAAAAGGAAAAGGTGAAAAATAACGACGGAGGACTAAATACATTAAAAACATCTGATTAAATCTGATGAAAGACGACATAAACTAAAATCATAAAAACAAGCGAAACAAGTGATCAAATAGATTAAATGACTGAAGTCATGACTAAGCAAAATGACTCAGCATAAAATCGTTTTGTTTTGTTTCTCAGACTAAAAGACAAAATAATACAATCAGAAAATAAAAATTATGTAAAATCTGAATAAACATCAAAACTCATTAAATGATAAAAACTATGGAATGTGAACAAAAGACTAAACATAAAAATGAAATGATCAGAACCGGGATAGAACAGGATAAATAAACATCAGTCATCAAATATAAGAAGCAGCAGAACCGTGATGTTTACGTCTTATTCCTGCTCTGAGCAGAACTTTGTTCTGTTTAACTTCATCAGTGCTGTGTTCTGGTTCTGGTCTCAGTGTTTCATTCTGTCGTCTCTGAGCAGAAAGGACCGGAGACCAAGAAGTCTGAGATTCTGGTTCTGGACCCGAAGAGGAGCAACGCCATCAACATCGGTATGACGGTCCTGCCGGCGGTCCACGTCATCAAGACCGCCATCCTCAACCTGGACGAGTTCGCCATCAGCAAGGAGGGCATCGAGGTGACTCCTGTTCTTGTTAGTTATCAGCGTCTGGACTCTGTTCTGTTCTGAACCCGATCCATCTGCTCAGCTCCATCCTGTCTTTAGACATTTTAGTACCAGCAAAGTTTTTCACTCTGTTCTGCTCCTAAGACTTTTTGATAAACTTTCAAGTTTTTGAAAGGATTTTAGGGTAAATCTGTAATAATTCAGGACATGAATTTGCCATTTTGGGCGACTGAAGGGGTTCTGAGTCGTTTGGTCCCTTTGGACTGAACATTTCCGTGTCTACAGCCTCCTGCTTCCTCTCAGGCCCGCTGGCAGGAAGGTTTCTGTTTAAACCAGAATGGCCCCATTTATCAGCAGAACAAGAAAAATCACCTGATTTTAAACTCAAATTATGATATTTCATTAAAATCACTGTATTCTGTAATCAGAACCAGGACAGAGGAAGGTTCTGGTTCCTACAGAATCTGAAACATCCAGTTTGACGTTGACGTCTGGTCAGTGTTTCATCAGGAAGTCTGAATGTGGTGGTTGTTGGGCTCGTTAACGTTGTTGGTAACCTGCAGCGGTTCTGGTGTTCAGAGGTTAACGTGTCAGTAGAACCAGCTGACCCTGTTCTGTCCGGAGCAGAAGATCCTGACCATGACGCCCACCGAGGAGGAGAAGCAGAAGATCCAGGAGGCCCAGCTGGCCAACCCAGACGTCCCTCTGGGCACCGCCGAGCAGTTCCTGCTGAGCCTGGCCTCCATCAGCGCCCTGACCCCCCGCCTGCAGCTCTGGGCCTTCAAGCTCAACTATGAGGTTCTGGAGAAGGTAAACCGGGCCACGTGCAGAACCACCCAGTCCAGCTGCTGGTTCACATGTTGTCAGAGGCTGCAGGACTCTGGACCAGAAATAGAAACAGGTTTTGTTGTTGCTGAGGTTCCGTCAGAGTGGCCAGAATAAACCCAAACCACACATTTATCACTGTCCGGTTCTGAAGCGGAGCTCTGATCCATAAACAGCTCCTACACTCTCAGAACCTTCCATACGTTTAGCGGAGCGCTCAGATCACTTGGTCTAATTTATTATTATTTATATTGTTCAACACACAAACTAGTTGTTGTCATGACGACCTGTTCCATGACATCAGCTTCATAAAAACATACATGTGGGATTTTAGGGAATCAATTAGTTTTCTCCTCCTCTGGGAATTTAAGAAACATTTTTAAACATTTGTTCAGATTTTTTTGTCGATCAATAACCCTGAGCTCGATTAATAACCCTGATCAATAACCCTGAGCAATAACCCTGAGCTGGCCTCACAGAAGAACCCAGACCTGGTTCTGGTTCTGCAGGGTTCTGGTCCTCGGTGTTCTCCAGGCTGCTGCCTCCGTTCGTGTTGCTCTTGTGTTGATGTTGTGTTGATGTTGTGTGTTTGCCGTCCTGCAGGAGATCGCAGAGCCGCTGTTCGACCTGAAGCTGGGGATGGAGCAGCTGGCATCCAATCAGACGTTCCGGAGGATCCTCGCCACGCTGCTCGCCATCGGGAACTTCCTGAACAGCTCCAGCGTGAGAACGCACACACACACAAACAGAACCTTATCAGCGTTCCCTGTACATCAGCTGATCAGCTGACTGGTCTGATGGCTCCGCCTGCTGACAGGAAATAACAACGACTCTGAGTGAACAGGAACCGCAGCAGAACCCTGGAGCAGCAGAGTCCAGTCATTTACAGTCATTCATTGGTTGTTCTTCACTCTGCTTCTATAAACTGCTTCAGGAGCCAGTGAGCTGCTGGATGAAGTTATAACCATGTGCATGAGTCAGATCGTCCACCAGCTCAGACAGAACACACGAGTGATGTCTGAATGACAGCAGCATGACCATGACTGCAGCAGAACAGTAGTGAAGTAGACGTGGGACTCATTAGTAGAAATAACACGAGTAGTGAGAAGTACTCCTGCAGTACTGAGGTAATATTACTGCACTTGAAACTGAAGTAAAGCTGCTGTAGCAGCGTCAGCCTGCAGGGGGCGCTGGAGGTCAGAGAGGCTGAATTAACCTCTGCTCAGACTTTACTCCCGGTTCTACTGAACAGACTCCAGACCTGGAACAGCCACGTTCTGTTCAGTCCAGACCCAGTCAGAAAGAACCGGGACTGAAGGTGACTGAGGCGCTCTGACCAATCAGACGGCTCCCTGAAGGTCAGCTGACGATAACACAGTTGATTCTACACACAGAGTTTATCTGAACATCTGTTGGTCCTCCAGAAGGATTAAAGAGTTCAGAGATGCTGTTAGATTCACCTGACTGGTGTGTGTGTGT